GGGGTGGGGGTGGGGAGGTCATGGCTCTACTTGTTTAGCCATTTTCTGTCTCAGTTCCACGGCAGGTGGAGACTCAAACAATATTTGTTGAACAACTTCCTTTTATCTACATGCTATTGAGGATGGACTGACGTATTTTGCATTCAGTCCACATATACACTTACATGTACACCCTTATAAGCATGTCTCACCCAGGGGTACCTGCTGGGCCGGGGCTCAAGCAGGAACTGCAGAGATGCGCTCCTGTCCTGGAGGAGACATGAGACATGTATAACACCTGCCAAGTGCCCAGCATGGGGCCTGCACATAGTAGGGCTTGCTTGATAGCGCTTCTCCTTAGTCTGTGAGTCCACGGAGGGGGTTGGGGGCTAGTGCGGCAGGCTGGAGGCCATGTGCTGAGCCAGCCTTGTAAGTGGGCACAGAGGTTGGAACCACTTCTGCTCAGGGCATCGCAGGACTCCCATGATTGCACACCTGCTATGAGCCAGGCACAGGGTAAAACACTCTATTATCTTGTTTAATTTTGGCCGAAGGACTGTGAAAGAGATCCAGCTGGCCTTTGGGTGGGGGCAGCCCAGGTGGAGAGAACACGTGAGTCCACATAGGAAAGCCGGGACTGGATGTTGGGAAGATGAATCGGGAATGTAGTTTGGGCACCAACCACACAAGACCATAAACTCTGGACTAAGAAGTGGAGCATTATCATTTCTTGTCAGGGAGCGCCGGAGTCTCCGGGTATTTGTTAAATGCAGGTTCTTGGGCTCTGCCTGCTGAGATTTGAGTCAGTAGGGTGGGTGTGCGGCCCAGGAACCTGCGTTTTTCATGCATTTCCACATTGATTCACCCATGTTTTGAGTTGGACGGCAGCTGAGGAGGCTCCTACTTATTCCCAGAGATCTTATGGACTCCTCCCACACACCTCGGGAGGCAGCAAAGCCATCTGCATTTTCCAGAGAAACCTGAGCTCACCGAAGCGAGGCGCCTCGGGTGACACAGCAGCGAGACCGAGACTGATACTGACTGATACTGACTAATAATTTTCCGGGTTCACTGGCTGCTGTTCTAAGCCTGTTCAAGGAGTCCCTCATTCAGTCCTCAGAACGACCCTCTTCATCATTCCTGTTGCACAGATGAGGAGACGGAGCCAGAGTCTGGTTCAAGGCCGCACAGCTGGTAAAGGCTTGTCACGCGGTGGGGATGAGTGAGTCTGGAGAGGGCCTGCGCGGGCATCTTGGACAGAGCCATGCCCTCTCCCCTCCTTTGGTACAAGGGCGCGGGTGGAGCTGAGCTTGCGCCTGCGAGTGTGAGCAGAGGCCAGAGGCGGAGGTGGAGGTGGGAGCAGAAAAGCGGGGAGGAGGGCGGAGAGCCGGGCAGGCGTCCCGGAGGAGGCGACGCAGTCACTGTCGCTGTGGCCCGAAGCCATTCATCCGGTAGGCGCTCTGGCCTAGGCAGGTCCGGGTTTGGAGGACGGCGGGGTGTTTGTCCCTGGTGCGCGTCCCGGGCTGGCCCATGCGGTGCACCCGGGCGCAGTCCCCGGCTGGGCTTGTGCGCGGTGGCTGGGCGGGAGAAGGGACGAGCGGGGTGAGCGGGAGCTGCGGGGGCGGNGTGTGTGTGTGTGTGTGTGTGTGTGTGTGTGTCCCGGCTGCGGCTGTCCTGTCTGTCGGCAGTCGGCAGTCGCTGTCAGCAGGCCAGGCTGGAGGAGAGAAGCTGGGGGAGGGGCAGGGTGCTGGCAGCACCTGGAGGAAGGTCGTGGTGGCTGCAGGCCCCAGACTGCCTGCTTTAGTGACTGAGGGACTTTTTATCTTGGAGATGTATCCTCATGGGGGCTGGAGTATTTGCATGTATAGATGTGTGTGTGCCTGGCTCACACACCTGTTCTCCTGGGCTGTGGGCACCTGTGGGACATGGGTCTAGGCCACCAGCAGGGCATGTGGGCCTGCACATATGTGTAAATGTGTGTCCTATGAAAAGAATGCACACACACACATGCACAAGTGCACACAGGTGTTGTCAGTAAATGCCTGTCCTCCTGAGCTGTATGCCCTGGAGCTGTGTACGTGGGTGGGGACCTCTGGGCCATGGCCCCCTAGGCAGGAATGAAGAGGAGGAATTGAAGGGGGGCATCAGGGAGAAGTGTGTGTGTGACATCAGTGAGAACCGCTGGTTGTGACATCAGCTCCATGTTGCTGGTGACGTCACTAGGACAGCAATGTGAAGAAGGGTCACCCCCACCAGCTGGAGTATGTGATGTCATTGAGAGTGTGGGAGGTGTCACTGTGTGGATGGCTGACTGTGGTCATGTCCCCTGTGTTGTGAGGGGTGAGAAGGAGAGAGGGATGGAGCTTTACAGTGAGTGGTCCCTCCCAAGGGGCCCCATTTCCTGAGTGGTGTGGGACCCGTTTCCTTAAGGCCTGCCTCCCTAATAGCGTATCTCCTCTGTCCCCCATGTGGTATCCCCTCTCTCCTCCCCATCTGCACCCCCACCAGTGCCTCTTCTGGGCCCTGATCCAGCCAGGTTGCACAGACTCTTGGGTATACTGGTGAGTGTGTATGTATGTGTAAGTGCACGTGACAGCAGAAAGTGACCACAGCCAGCAAGCCAGAGACTTTTGGCTCTAAAGCCATGTCGTTACTTTTTGTATTTTGTGACTTAGGCATTCCCATCACCTCTCTGAGCCTAAGTTTCTCATGTTACTTGCCGGGTGGTAAAGGAGGTGAGGGGGGATTACAGCAGATGGTGGGCCTCGGGGCCGGGCACCTGGCACATATGGGATCTCAGTTCAGGTGGGCTCTATCCCCTGGCCTCCTGTCCACCAGCCCAGAGCAGCTGCCCTTCCCCCGTTCCCCCCCCCACACACACACACCGCCCCCCGCCGTTTTGGTTTAAGTCAAACTTGGTAAAGAACTTTCTTTTCTCTCCTTGGATCCTCACAGCAGTCCTGTGAGGCTGGCAGGCTGGCTGCTGTTATGTGGACATTTGACAGATGAGCAAACTGAGGTCTGGAGGGTAAAGTAAGCTGTTGTCTATTCATTTCTTTGTGAGAATTCCACCCCCATCCCATTCCACTCTGTGGGTGCAGAGAGACATATTTGATTGGCAGGTCACTTCCCAGAGGGCACTTTCATTTTATGGAGGGACAGGTGCTATGTGAAGTGGGGGTGGGGGTGGGAGGTGCCAGAGTGAGGGGCCCAAGGTGGAGAGGTCATTGGCTATAGGAGAGGCTGCCCTTGACTCCCAGTCCAGTGCTGATTTGTTCTTTCACCTCATCAGATTCAGAGCTAGTCAGGGTGACAGAAACGGGTGCATTTTGCTTCCAAGCCTTCTTTAGTGGGGACAGCCTGGGGTGGTCATTGAGGGCCCCATGCTCTGTATGGGATCCCTTGTCCCCTGAGGTCTGCAGAACTAGTTCCAGTGACACCTCTGCTTCATCCTGTGTGTGACATGGGGGTCAACCTCTCCTGTCTGCAAAGCTGTGGCGGCTTGCCTTGCAGGCTTGATGAGCGAGTGTGAGAATGTGGTATCCATGTGTAGCACCAGGATGATACCCGTAACAGTTGCCCTCACCCATTCCAGCTACAGCGCCCCTGGGCCCAGTTCCTCCCTCCTGCCAGAACCCTACCCCTCAATCTACTGTGATAGTGTTATGTGGAGAGCTGCCAGCCAGGAAGCAGGATTGCCTCAAAGCCGAAGCCTGAGTCTCCTTAACAGGGGCAGCGTTAATGGTCCAGAAGGTTAACGCAATCCTCTGCCTCCTGCTGTCCCAGACCAATCCTCTATTAAATTAACCTTCTTCTGGCTCAATTAGCACCTGGGGCAGAGGCACTGCCATTGTTCCTGGGGACATGTCTTGGGGGGTTGGAATAATAGAGACCCCTCCTCCTCCCGCTCAGCTCTGCAGACCCCCAGGGGGGCTCCAGAGAGTCACCTGGGCAAGCTTACATCTGGAGTGCAGAGGAAGGGCGCTGGCTGCATGACGCTGCTGACGGCAATAATTAGAGTGATAATAATAATGATATTAGGTGATGTCCATTGAGTCTGAGAGCCAGGCCCAGGGTGAAGCCCTATATGAGCAGCACTCATTGAATCCCACCAAGGCGTCTGCAGTGGAGTTGCTGTTATTCCTTATTTCATTGACAAGAAACAGAGAGGTTACAGACCAGCTCAGGGCCACACAGCAGTGGAACCAGGACTGGAAGCCCCACGGAGGATTCGTGCATCAGCACCAGTTTGCATGGGGGCCTTTCTATCTTGGGGTGTCCCTCGCTGGGGACCTCTCTGGGCCTTGCTTTGCTCATCTGTCAATGGGTGCAGTGACCCTGTGGCAGGGAAGCAGTGGGTGTGGTGGTGGCTGCAAGGACAGAGGGGCAGAAAGGCTCTAGGGTCTCAAGCCCTCTCCCCATTCCCCCTGCGCCCCTCCCCTCAGTGCCCAGTGCCATTCCAGCAATCTGCTCCCTTTTCTCCCACAGTGCTGCACAGGGGTAGAGGGGGGCAGAGTAGACTCTCTGTGGGTCTCCCCTAGGGGATGGAGGGGACGCTGCTCTCCATCACTATCTTCCCCAGGCCACCGTCTGTTGTGGCCTCAGCTGTGGTCCCCTGGACCACTCTGCCACACTCTCCCAGTCTCACTTGTAGGAAGGGCAGGGACTCAAAATCCAAATTCTGCCTCATTTTCTCCTCAATGTGTGTCCTGGGCAAGTAAGTTCACTTTCACTTTCCACAAGGCCCCTTTTCCTCAGTGTAAAGTGGGGACCATGGTACCAAATTCCTAACTCCTCTAGGTCGTTACGTAAGAGAATGTCAAATGTGTAGCATTGTGTCTAGCACATAGTAGGTGTCAATTAGATGAGTTCCCTCCCCCTTCCCATCTGTCTCCTTGATTCATTCCTGGTTCCCTGGAATGGTTCTTGGGCTGTCTGTGTGTGTGTGTGTGTGTGTGTGTGTGTGTGTGTGTGTGTGTGTTTCCTTCCCTCTCTTTCAGCCTCCACTTTCACCCCCTGAAATGCATGGAACGTTTTCTGGAGCTAGGCTGGGGGGCCTGAGGAAGAATGAGAAGGGCGTGGGGGCTGCTTACCCCCCAGCTGGAGTGTGCAGAGGGGCTGGGAGGGGGCAGGGCACACTTTTGTGTGTGTGTGTGTGACTCTGTGTGCGTCAGCTCCTCAGGGGGGATGTGGGGAGCAACTCCCAATGGCTCCTTGGCCAGTCTGCTCTGGGCCCAGCCCCAAGACTCAGGCCTGACTCCATTTCCTTCCTTGGCCTGTCGCTATCATCTCTCTCCCCACAGAGGCTGTGGGGGTGGCATGCCCTCTCCCTCCCTTCCTCACGCTTCTTATTACCTGGGGGTGGGGGTGG